ATTATTATTATTATTATTATTATTATTATTATTATTATTATTATTATCATTATTGCCTTGAGAAAGGGGCTGGAGCGCCAAAAGTTCTGAACGCTACTAAAGATAGATCCGTTCGGGCTTTTGAAAGTCTGCTCAGTGAATTCTTGCTTGTTTCGTCTTTCAAAATGGTTTGGGATTTAAGATTTCAAGCCTAACCCACATTCTGTAGCATGAAGTTGCAGTCATTTGTGTTTTAGCACTGAGTTTAAGCATTAACTAGATAACCCTTTTTTCCTGTTGATCTCCATTTAGAATATTGGTCCTCTTTGTTTTCCTTCACATTGGATAGCTAAAAAAATTGACATCATAGCCTGGGTTTTTTTTAGCCTCTGGAAAACTGACAGGAATGTACTGTTGGATCCTCTCACTGTCACCCATGTTTGAAAATGTCTTCCACGAGATACCGTCCCAGCTCTACGTTCTGCATCCAACCCCTATCATTCATTAGGAAAGCTGGATTTTCATATTCTTTTTAGATCGATAGAAAGGGAAGATTAAATTGCAGAATATTGAAAGTGGGATTTGCTTTAACCTTTAAGCAGTATGTCCCAAAGGTGCTTTTTCAAGAGGCAACTGGACTTTCTGGTTTTTCTTTGAAGATGTTTCGCTTCTCATCCAAGAAGCTTCTTCAGCTCTGACTGGATGGCGGAGAATGGAGCTAAAGAAGTCAGAGCTGAAGAAGCTTCTTGGATAAGAAGCAAAACGTCTTCAAAGAAAAACCAGAAAGTCCAGTTACCTCTTGAAAAAGCACCTTTGGGACAACTATGACCTGGATGACTAAGAATCTCCATGGACTCTAAGCAGTATGTTGTTGATACCCAATTGTATATTTCAGGAGGCCCTTTAGACAGTCACTAACCATCCCACGGTTTGGCTCCTTGCAATGCTCTCTACCTGGGGCTGCCCTTGAAGACTTCCCAGAAACCTTCACTGGTCCAGAATGAGCAATAATGGGCACGTTTAGTATATCTATGTAACACGTGTGCTGGTTGCCAATTTATTTCCAGGTGTGAGTCCAGCTGCTGGTTGTTAATTATAAAAACCCCACTTATCACAAAGCCTGGTTTCTTTAAAGACCACCTGATCCGATTCTGCAGAGTTGGTCCACTGTGGATTCCTGTCCACTGGAATTCCCAGTAGGCCACTTCCTCTGGATCAAAGGGGGCAGGCAAGTCCCATTGGGATAAGGTGGCACCTCAAATACCTTGGACCCATGCCACAGAGGGATTTAAAGACAATAACCTGTTCCTTGAATTGGACCCAGAAGCAAAATGGTAAACAATACGATTCGCCAAACAGTGTCGTCGTGTGTTGACCTCTGCTTGCCAGATAGGGAAGGATTATTGCTTAGTTCCTGCCCCATCAGTAGCACTTATATACCACTTATATACTAGAGTTTTACAGCAGTTTACAGAGTCAGCCTATTGCCCCCCAACAATCTGGCTCCTCATTTTACTGACCTTGGAAGGATGGACGGCTGAGTCAACCTTCAGCTGGTGAAAATTGAACTGTCGAACTTCAGGCAGCCAGTAGAAGTAGCCTGCAGCACTGCATTCTAATCACAAAAACATTTTGCAAACAGCCGCTCAACCTTTTTACGTTTCTTCCTCTTCAAAGGGCAGCATATATGCTTTTCCTGCAAACTTCCCGGCAAAGACGTGAAGCGCTGCTCGGTCAACGCGTGTGGCAAATTCTACCACGAGGCCTGTGTCCGCAAGTTTACGACAGCCGTTTTTGAATCCCGAGGATTCCGTTGCCCTCAGCATTGTTGCACCGCCTGCTCTATGGACAAGGACATCCATAAAGCAAGCAAAGGTAAGGGGAAGAGCAGGTGGATCATTTTCGCGGCGAGGCATCGTCATGAAAAGCTCCAAATAATTCCTGTGCATTTTGCATAGCTTCAGGGTGGAATTCTTGCTAAAAGCTTGGGAAAGGAAAAGTCCAGAAACAGCGGCAATCTAGGTGGGAAAAGGTAATTCAGTGATGGCAAACCTTTTTGTTGTAGTGTGCCAAAAGCGCGCATGTGCCGGCACCCACGATGCAATGCGCCCCCTCCCCCGCGCATGCTTATGCAACATCTCCACCCCGCCCCCTTAGCTACACTGCGCATGCGCGCACCTCCCAGCTGATTTTCGGCCCGTTTGAGGCCGTTTTCGCCCTCCCAGAGACTCAAGAGAAGCCTCTGCAGCCTCGGAAGGCCGAAAAACAGGCCCGTTTTGGCACTTCCAGTAATTTCCGGAAGGCCCGTTTTTCAGCCTACCAAGGCTGCGGAGACTCCCTCAACCTCCGGGAGGGCAAAAATGGCCTCAAACGGGCCGAAAATCAGCTGGGAGGTGCGCGCATGTGCAGTGTAGGTCAGTTTGGCTGGGGCTCGTGTGCCCACACAAATGGCTCTGTGCCATAGCTTCGCCATCACAGATGTAGTTTGTTTTTGGCAGTGGTTTTGCTCTCTAAGCTTGTTTCAATTTAGCTTCTGACATTTCATTACCAGACTAGGTTAACATCATCAGCAGGATTTTCTTCTCCTATTCCTCTGTAGCTTATAAACGTCTTGTTTGTTAATTGCACAACCAACTGACCACACTGGCACACAAGACGTTTATAAGCTACAGAGGAATAGGACAAGAAAGTCCTGCTGATGATGTTAAGCTAGTCTGGTAACAAAATGTTCAGAAACTAAAGTGAAACCAGCTTGGAGAGGAAACCACTGCCAAAATCTAAAACCCGAGCTACAAGTATTTCCTATTATTTCAATGTAGGTGGAGATAACACACAGGTCTAATGTGATTGCTATTTTCCCATGGTTTCTATGGAGAAAAAAAATCTTCACCTTCCTGCAATTGTTTTGTGTTCGGAGAATTATTTGCCAGGAACCAACAAACCTTGACAAAAGGTTTGGGCTGTTGGTTTATATGAAATTTACAGGAGAGAAAAGAATGGAAGCCTTTATATCAACCTAATGAACATCCATTCTGAATCAGTTAGGGAATGTGTGTATCTTACTTCTTCACTAAATGACAAGATTTGCAGTAGCATTCATATGTGTAAAAATACACCTACGTTATTTGCACACTGCAAGACATGGAACCTAACTCTAACCCTAAAACATTTTTGGCTGCTTGTTTGCTATGAAAAAGATCAAGACAACCCAAAAACAAAACCAAATTTCTTACATCCTTTGAAAGAGACACTCTGTGATTGATTTCATCCTGTTTCATCAGATGTGGGTAGCCAGATGTTAATGGGAAATTGAATTCACAGACCTTTGCACATTAGATAACTTTCCTTTTCTTTAGATAGATAGATAGATAGAGAGAGAGAGACAGAGACAGAGACAGACAGACAGACAGACAGACAGACAGACAATTGAGAGAGAGAGAGATGGATAGATGATATAGATAGATGATAGATATATAGATAACAGACAGACAGACAGACAGACAGACAGACAATTGAGAGAGCGAGAGAGAGAGAGAGAGAGATGGATAGATGATAGAGATAAATAGATGATAGATATATAGATAATAGATAGACAGACAGACAGACAGACAAACAGACAGACAGATAGATAGATAGATAGAGATAGATAGATGATAGACACATAGATAATAGATGATTGAGATAGATGATTGAGATAGATAGATAGATAGATAGATAGATAGATAGATAGATAGATAGA